TTAATATTGGGTACACAAAGATAACTGGATTAAACATATATGGTTGAATTAAATGACAGGAACGTTTGAATTAACAAATCATACAATAAAATGTGGGGATATAAAGACTCAGACACCGAACATGGGAGGTGGAAAGATACAATAATGAGCATGAACACAAAATGAAAATGCTCTTAAAGAGATGACTTAAAGAGAAGATTGTGTTTTTACCCCGATTACAGCATTACTCCCTCTAAAACATTATCAACCCTGGTATCAACTTGCTGTAATGCAACATCACCCATTCCTATTACATCCCTCAGTCATTCATTCTCCTCCACCTCAATCTCCTTATTACCCATTACACCACCTCCTCCATTAAGTGCCACTCCTCCTCCTACAACACTTTCCTACTCTAAATACTATCTCCTTATTTTCTACACCGCCACTCCCTTCCCTCAGCAACTCTGCCCCCTTCAAAATCCTCACACTTCCTCTAACTTCATTGACTCCTAATTTTAATATCAGTTTCTTTCTCTCTACATCATCTACCCTCTTTCTCTCAATATAATTATTACTTGTCTCCCTAGTCCCTGTCTTTTCTCCATACGCTGCCTCCTTCTCATACCATTCTCACCTCCAGCATGCAGATATCATACCAGTAGTCAATCTATCTGACAGGAAATCATGGTCAGCTTAGCAAGAATGTAACATGGGCACACAAGAGATAGCTGCTAAAAACAGGCTTCCAGAACAGAAGCACCATTTATTAACTCTATTGCAAGAGTCTGGAACATGTGTAGGAAATGGGAAGATCTAAGGGTAAATTACCCCACAGAAAATCTAGTGGAAGGAATGAGAAGAGTAACACCTGTCCCCAGCAGGGCCAGCCTGCTAAATAAATTTGCCCCTGGGTATTTAGATGCACAGAAGTATAATAAGAGTGGTGCATCCTGGTGTTCAAGTGGGGTGAGTGCACTCTCCAGCTGGTTTATCTTGTGAGCTCTGATATCAGAGAGCATTGCCATGGTAACCATATTTAGTGGCCCCAGGCTTACTGACAATCAGCTGTATTTGCAGAGTGTAAGAGGCAATGCACACACTCACTAGGGAAATACTCCACCGGGTTGCTCCAAACCAGGAGGGCCAACTACCCATCAATCCAACTGGAACGAATACATATGCCTGGGCACACCCAATGGTTTCTTATTAACAGGCTGTCTTTTATTTGGAGTTCAGAGGAAAATACAGTGTTTCAGCACTATCCTGTGCCTTTGTCAAGACTTGTGCCCTGATGATCAGCTGTATGCAGCGTCCAGCGTGAGGTTTTTGCAGCTCTGGGATCTTGCTCAGTTGCGGTTAGCTCCCTCAGAATATGAACAGACCCTGACAGGGTCTCCCAGCATACCCCTCTGTTACTTGTGATCAGTGCTGGGTTTTGCCAACTGTCCAGCTCCGATCACACTTTACATTCTGGGGTTTCTCCTGAAAACAGCCAGGAGATGGCAGTCACATACTGCTCTCTAATGTTTTAAATTAGAAAGTCCATCTGCTCCTATCAGGACAGGCATTCCTTAGGATTATGGTTAGAGGTAGGTTTAGTATGGGTAGGGTCAGGATTGGCACAGGATAGGGTTTTGTAAGTTTAGAGTTAGTGTTAGCGTAGGATTGAGTTTGAGCTAGTGTACATTTAGTGTCAGTGTTAGGGTAAGGTGAGGGCTAATGCTGAGTTAGGGGTATTATATGGTTAAGGTTAGCTGTAAAGTCAGGGTAGGTAAGGTTATCGTAATAGTATGCACAGTGCTAAGAGTAGAGTTGGTATAGTGTTAGAGTGGGGTAGTTATGGGGTTAGCGTTAGCTACCAAAAATAAATTTAGATCGTAGACATATGACGCATTTAACAGTCAGAACTCCCATGTTAATTTATTTTGAGTTATTTTTCTTTAGTTACACTGGATATCTAAAAATTATTAGAAGCAAAAATGTTGCTTATAAAAATTTATTTATTTTCTCCAAGTATAACATTTTATTTCCTCTTAATGTTGTGTTATGTATTTATAGACAGGATCATAAAAGAGAGCTCTTTCTGTCCTTTAAAAACAATATATAATATGTATGGGAGCACTTAAAGAGAAAACCCTAAATTACAGTGGAACAAACACATAGCACAAATTCTAAGTGTTGTTTTGGTTCAGAATTGTCTGAACAATTGCACAATTGTCTCCGTCCTTAAGGGGTAAAACATGTCAACTCAGCTCTGTAAAGTCACAATGATGTTAAATGATGCTTCCATGTCAAATATGACTATAGGATCCCTAGGAGCCAGATTGCCAATGGTCTTCATTGGTCCTTAACAAGTTAATATAATACATTAACTAATAACAATACTGAAAATTGTTCCACATTCAAAAACATAACATAAATAGAATATAAATAGAATAGATATATATAATAGAATATAAAAGATAAGATTTAAAATATATTCTGAGACATTTCTGATATCAGCATCATAGACGGGGATAAGAGGACAAAAACACATGTTCAGTAGCTTTAATAAGGTTTATAAAATTATAAAGTCACAGTATATTCAAGGCAGGCAGCACAATAAGACTCTGTGCATATGTGAAATAGACCTTTGGGAAAGGTTTTATGAAAGACATTCTAATTTATATTCCCTTTCCAAACTCATGTTACCTTTTCCCTAAAGCATCATTTGCAATATTCCTGAAATTGTATGCTGTATCTTACACTTGCTTTACCTTGAGGTGAAATATACTTGCTGATCAAAACCAACCAAAAGCTGAGCAGTAAAGTGGGAAAATCAAAGTCAAAATACTGCAATGGGTAGAAACAATTTTGACCATGACCACTTTCACTATTCAAGATGAATTTCAAATTTAAGGCCAAAGTAGGTGAACCTAAAGCATAGCTGACTTAAAGATTTTTTTCCAGCATGGTAATTTTTAAGTTGAATTTGAAATTCACTTTGAATTCACTTTGAATTCTCACTAGTGAATAACCTTATTTAAGTCAGGCATGGATTTAGGACAGCAACAGGGCAATTTCTCTTACACACAAACAAATGTGTTGCCTTCAAACAAACATTATCACCTGAAAATCAATGCATTTCAATTCACCAGCTTGCATGTGTAATTTTGATATGTTTTATTTAGCTCTTCATATTTTTAACCTTGTTAACCAACAGATTAGACACATCATATGATTATACAGGAATAATGCACAAACAAAATCTATAGAGTGCTGCACAAAAATTGATGACAGATGTGCTTACAAACATACCTCCCAATTTCAGTGTCCTGTGAAGCCGGACGTCATTGGTAGGGTTAAAAGGGGCAGGCAAGTGACACAATTTAAAATGGTGTGGATCAGCATGTAGAATTGACAGGTCAACCTGATGTAAATGCACACCAGGCTGCCTGCAAATCAAGCAGGTCAGTCCACCAAGGGCAGACCACACAGAGAGCAATGTTTCAGTGCTCTCTGCAAGGTACTAAGGCCCAGAACATAGAATGAGAATGACTAATGACTTATGTCATGTCTTTGGGGGACATTTTCCTGGTTTCCCCAAAAGCGGAATAAATTGGGATAAAACCCAAACATGGCGGGTGTCCCACCCAAATTAGTACTGTTAGGAGATTTGCATATTAATGAGACGAGATTACACATATTTGCTGATTGAAAATCAGGTTTATTGTCAAAATGTACACACTTTCAGCTGTTTGCAATGAGCAAATCAAACAAAAAGTTGAAATAGCTCATCACAACGAATGCTTCAAGTGGTTTCCCCAAATTTAACTGAAAATGCAACTTATCAAGTCAGGTGACTGTGATGGCAACTGTAGAATTTTCAAGGACTTATTCTGCAATCAATCCATGGTGGAATTTGAGGTACACTTGGGATCATTGTCTTGTTGAAAGATCCAATGACGGCCAAGCTTCAGCTTCCTCACAGACAGCATAACTGAGATGACTCAGGAATCAGTCGATACCTGGGTTTCCCCTCTGTCAGCTGGAACCATATTGAGTGGCCCCAGAGTGAACAATGAGCTGTGTACAGCACATAAAGAGAGCACTGCACATAGACATTTAAATAACTGTAATACACACAAACACACAATAAGTAGAACTAATATATACCTTAAAGGACCACTCTAGGCACAGAGACCACTTCCGCTTAATGAAGTTGTCTGGGTGCCAGGTCCAGCTAGGGTTAACCCATTTTTTTTTATAAACATAGCAGTTTCAGAGAAACTGCTATGTTTATAAATGGGTTAATCCAGCCCTCAAATCCTCTAGTGGCTGTCTCATTGACAGCCGCTAGAGGAGCTTGCGTGATTCTCACTGTGAAAATCACAGTGAGAACACACAAGCGTCCATAGGAAAGCATTGTAAATGCTTTCCTATGGACTGGCTGAATGCGTGCGCAGCATTCAGCCGAAAGGGAGGAGAGGAGGATGATCGGAGGCGGAGAGCTCCCCGCCCGGCGCTGGAGAAAGGTAAGTTTTAACCTTTTCCTTCGAGTATGTTTTACTGTCACTATAGTGGCCCTTTAATAACAATGATGAGTACTGGTGGTAATAAATTACAAATAATAATCTTTACAAGAGTACAAAGCAGAATAATTCTGCAGATGGTTTTAAAAGTGTATAATCAGAAATCTCAAAGTAAAATTCACACTAACAAGGACAGAGCCAATAAGTCACCTGGCTCTAGTGTGTATCACCTTTTAATCCTTAGGGAGATCCACAGCCCTCTTCCATGTCTTTACAACCCAGGTGATCTTTAATGGGTAAAAGCAGGAAACTTGAGGTTGTTTTAAAATCTGTTGAATTTATTAATACAATGTATATCTAAAATAATAAATTTGATCAAATAATCAATAAAACTATTAGGAACAAGGTTACTATGAGTCCAAAACGAGTTTTGCTGTATGCTGATTTCTCCAGTTGGAAAATAGTTTGTTGTGTGAAGTTCCATCTTTTATATCTTCATTTAATTATTCAATTGCCAGCATTTGGGGGCATCCAGGGCATAAATTCCTGTCCTTTGGAATGTACATTCCGTTTCCTGGAATGCATGTTCCGTGCATCACCTATTGGTTCGCCCAGATTAGCCGTCACTTCCTTCTTTCCTGTGGAACGCAAACTGCCTTCCACCGCAAGGTTCACCGTCACTTCCTTCTGAGTTCCACCTATGTGTCCTTCATGGGTGACGATAACATGAGGATCTTCATACTGTTTGTGGAACACATATGCGTTCCACTTCATTGAGAGTCCAATTTATGTATATTAAAAGTGCAAAAGGCAGAAAAACAGGAAGGAAACATAAAAAATATATATATATTTATTTATGCAAACAAAAGATTTTATATAAATCAGGAATAGTAATTGAGTTAAAAGAGTAAAAAGGAGCAGACAAAGAGCAAAAGGAACCGAATTATCACAGGTAGAATGATGCCATTTTAGTGTTAATCATCGAAGCAACTGGGGGGGAGAATTAATGGTTCTGTGTATACAAAGTAAAATCATATTTTCATAAAAAAATAAGATAATGGAATAAAAAATCTACATTAAAAATATAAGGGAGAAAGAATTACTTAAAAGACTTCTCTATTTTTAATTTAAAAAAATGGCACAACTCAAAGTCTAAATTCAAGCTAGGAGAGGCTTATAAATCGCATTTCTTCAATGCCAACTATATACTCGTTACTTGCGATATAAGTTCTCTATATAGTATTATCCAACACAATAAAGGGATTTAGGCAGTTGAACATTTTTAAAATAAATCTGATTTTAAAAGAGAACAAATAGATTTCATAATTAAGGGTATCCTTTTAAACCTCATCAACAATTTATTTTGGTTCAAAGACAGCTTCTTTTTACAAACAAAGATGGGAACCAAGTTCGCACCCTGTTAAGCCAATTTGTTTATGGCGTACTGGGAAGAGAAGTTTATTCTCCAAAGCTCCTTTTATGCGGACTTGGTTACGTATCGCCATTTCATTGATGATATATTTTTTATTTGGAGAGGTGACTAATTAAATCTCACTAGTTTTTTACAGCATTTAACCCTTTAGTGACCATACCGTTTTTCTATTTTTTTACCATTAAGGACCAGTGCTCTTTTTACATTTCTGCGGTGTTAGTGTTTAGCTGTAATTTTCCTCTACTCATTTACATTATCCACCCATATTATATACTGTTTTTCTCGCCATTAAATGATCATTCTAAAGATACCATTATTTTCATCATATTATATAATTTACTATACATAAAAGTATAAAATATGATAAAAATATTTAAAAAATACACTTTATCTAACTTTGACCCCTAAAATCTGTTACGCATCTACAACCGCCAAAAAACACCTGTGCTAAATAGTTTCTAAATTTTGTCCTGAATTTAGAAATATTCAATGTTAACATGTCCTTAGCTTTTTTGGAAAGTTATAGGGCAATAAATACAAGTAGCTATTTACAAACCATTTTTTTTTTTTCAAAATTAAGGCAAGTTACATTGTAACACTGATATCTGTCAGGAATTCCTGAATAACCCTTCAAATGTATATATTTTTTAATAGAAGGCAACGTAAGGCATTAAACTTGGGGTATTTTGACTCTTTTCATGCAACCATTTAACCACCAATTTATGCCAATTTTTTTTTTTTTTTAAATGGTGATTTTTTTTGACACACATAGCAATTTAAAAATACATGTACGGAGAACTTTAAGGGTTACTGCCAAAGAACACCCCCAATATGTGTTCAGCATCATCTCCTGAGTACAGTGACACCCCCTATGTATAGGTGTGTCGGGTTCTGTGGGGGCTAAAAGACCTTATTTGGAGGGTGTGCATTCCAGTTTTCCAACTTGGAATTTTCACAGCTGGTCATCATGCACCCATGTCCTATTTGGGAAATTTTTTAAGCCAGCCAGAGTAATTTACCCCTATCAAACTATATACTTTTGAAAAAAAGACACCCTAGGGTATTTCAAATGGTAATATTTTAACACTTTCCATGCATTAATTCTACCACCAGTCTTTGTCAATCTTTTGGGTAGTAATTTTTTGTGTTATTTTTCTCTCATTGTACTTTAGGCATGGATTTTCAGTTCCTGTTATGTGTTACTGACAAGAACACCCCAATATGTGTTCAGCAATATCTCCCGAGTACAACAGTGCCCACAATGTACAGTTTTTATGGGTTTTGCAATGTTACAGGGGTCAAATGTAGGGCTTTCACCTTTTCCATGTTTGCACATTGGAATTTGCCAGATTGGTTGCCTTTGAGACCGTATAGCAACCGAGGAATGAAAATTAACCCCATCATGGCATGCCATTTGTAAAAGTAGACAACCCACAGTATTCAAAATGGGGTATGTCCAGTTTTTTGTAGTAGCCACTTAGTCAAAAACGCTGGCCAAAGTTAGTGTTTTTATTTGATTTTTGCATTTTTTTTACACAAAAACTGCACTTTAACTCTTGATTTCATCGTTGTGATAGGTTTTACTGTTTCAAACACTTATATTTGTGTTCAGCAAAGTCTCCCGAGTATAACTCACCCCATGTACAGATTTTATGATATTTTGGAAAGTTACAGGGTCAATATAGGGCTTGCCTGATTCAGTTTGCCAGATTGGTTTGCTGTGTCTGTGTTGCCTTTTGAGACCAAATGGTAGGCCAGAAATGTGAAATAAACCCCATCATGGCATACCATTTTCAAATGTAGACAACCAAGGGTATTCAAAATGGGATATGTCCAGTCTTTTGCAGTAGCCACCTAGTCACAAATGCTGGCCAAAATTTGTGTTTTTATTTTTTTTTTTATAAATGTTTTTTTTTCCAATTTATTTATATATATATATATATATATATATATATATATATATATTTTTTGTGGCGGCCCCCCTGATGAGAAGAGGGGTTTTGCCACCAGAGATGTTCTTTTCCCCCAATCCGAGTAGAGCTGCAATAATCCTGGGAGCAATAATCCTAAAATGTAGTGAAATAGCCGTTATCGCTATTCTCGAGGCTCTGTGTTGAGGGTAAAACTGGAACTGGTTAAATAGGAGCCACAGCTGGCCTTTTATGTAGGTGACCATACAAGGGGTTTTTGGTGACACATTCCAGGGGCATTCCCCACTGGACCTAAGAGGGGACAGCAACACAAGCAAACACATAATTACATTACTCTCAGGTCCAGGACAAGCATTATAAAAATACATAAAAATATAGTTTTACCAATAAGATATCCCTACAATTATTATACCCCGGATAGCCTGGGTCTGAGCGCCCAACATATGTTGAAATCACTCAGATCCCGAGAATATAGCTGAAAAACCACCGGGGTATAAGTTAGACCGACTGCACACGAGGCGCCTGCCCAAAATAATTCCACGAAATCAGGCTGTGCAGTCGGTCTATTTCGGGAATATCAAACTCACAGTTTTACATACAAATTAGAGTTTGTGAATACATTTCCAGGGTATTGGTCATTCGACTAATGTTTTCACCGACTACTGCTCCGTTCTGATGAATAGTGCCAAACATATTGGCGTATGGAAGTCCTAGGGGTGTTCGCGCCGTTGAGTGTCCGATTTTAATTCCATAGACTCGACGACCAAACATCGCTGGCTGTGTTCCAAGATGGCCGCTGCCACGTGTTCGCACATATGAACGCCAACCACCCAGCCGACCGTTTAGAATGTTGAGGTGTTTGTGGTTTACAGAGGTGTTGGTAAGGTTAATAAGGTCAACAAGTGGCACACTCCTCACATGGGTGGTCGGTCGTTAGGTAGATAGGTCGGTAGTCGAACGGGCAAAGAGGATATATATATATATATAGGGGATTGAGTTCACTGGACAAACAGGAGAAAGGGACCAAAAAGGCTTTAAAATCCAGGGACAGGGAGGTCTGTCACAGTGCTCCCTCCTTGTGGGACACTCCGGCAGACCCGGCTACAGCATACAGTGATTATAGCCCTCTGTAACCTTGTAAAATTCCCAAATATAGTGGACAAGACCAGTAATATTGAGTAAAACAAGATAACTGTTTATTTCAGATAAAACCACATGCATTTATGCCCCTACACACAACAGAGGGTCTTCAATCAGAACAAAACAATCAGAACAAAACAAACCAAGGCATGATAATTTAATTTCCTGCTGGATACCCAGACACATTGCACAATACCTTTTACATAAGCTAATTAACAGAATAGCTTTCATCTCCCATTAACTCGATTGGGGTTGTGATCAGTCAAGACAGTGAACTCTCTCCCATAGAGGTAGGGTCTCTATGAAAGGTCTCTATGAAATCTTTTAAGTGCCCAGACGAGTGCCAGACACTCTTTTTCGATGGCCACATACCCTACCTCTTGGTCTAATGGGATAGCCAGTACTCAGTACATTTGGTACCTAAGTGACTAGCTAAGGGGGCTTTGTGTGCAAAGGTAAGTAAGGCCAGGCAGTGTATCTCCGGATCTACTAGCTGTAGTCTGGGGACAGTGGTTGTGCCGTGTGTATTGCCCGGGGTGGATTGGTATAGTAGTCTGTTTTTCAATACTATCTAGGGACTTATCTCCCCTGAGGCTTCCTGGTCACGATACTGGCTCAGGGTAGGGTCATTGAGGATATGAGAACCAAAGTCATCTGGGGGTGACCAGGGAAAGGGAGCAGTCAGTGGTAAGGGGTTTTGTCTGGTACAGGTCTTACCTGGTTCCCAGAGTCAAGTGCCTGCTTGGTTTGAGCTTGGGTGACGGCCAGACAGTTGAAAGGGGACAGAGCAGTGGCCTCTGGTACGAAGCAGCTTTCCAACTGCTCTAAGTCGTTCCCTAACAATACATCTGTGGGGAGTCCTTACATGACTCCCACCTCTCTGCAGCCCTCCCATGTGCCCCAGTTGAGGTGCACGTGGGCCAGGGGTAGCTTGTGGACTTGTCCATTCGAGACCCTTACATACACCTGGCGGTCTAGGTGCTGGGTTAATGACAAGGCACTGGGTTATACCAGCATGAGTGTGGCACCAGAATCTCGGAGCCCTTCGGTTATGCAGCCATTTACTTTTACTGGCTGGTAATGATGTTGCTAGTTGTCAAACTCTGGGTGCTGCACCAGTGACACCTCATTGTAATATCCACATTCGATAGCTTCACTGGATGGAGTGTAGTCCTGGGGAGGCACAATGGAGCTGAAGTTACTGTCTCTGGACTAACTGATGCAGTGGGCTTGTCGGGGAGCAAGGGTGGGGCTGCATTGTGGTTGGCCAC